GTTTGGTCGTAGGCCTGCAGCCTGAAGGGCGCAGGGCCTCGTGTTCACATCACACCACCCCAGCAGCACAGCGGGGCCGCACAGGACCTCTCCCTGCCGGCAGGGGTGCAGCATGGAGCAAGGGCCTACGCTTTAAGATCCTGGGTGCCGGGCTGCTATTATTTCAGTCAAGGCAGTACAAGGTTAAAGCTTAAGAATATAAGTGAGGAGCAGGTTGAAGTACCCATCACAAATTTTGCCCTAAATGTCATTATCACAGATGGTTACTTGACAAAGTTTTTCTCACTTATTTCTTTGTAAGTGTACTTTTGATAGTTCATAAAAATGGGTATTCATCTTAAAAGACTGCTAGCAAACTGCTCTTGCTGTCACTTCATTATTAATGTTACTTAGCTAGAGATTTGAAGTAATTTGTCATTAATTCTGTTGTCTAGGTAAAAAATGAATGAAACATTTAAAAACAGAAGAACACATGATCAGAAATATTTTAAATATACATCACAAAATCTCTGTATAGCATTTTCTTATGCTTATCTTACATGATATTTACTGTTAAGGAAAAAAGTATATTCTCGTTAATAATGACAGCTAAGGTTGAACACGTACCTTTGTTCAGTTTCCTGGGTTTTTTAGCATATTTTTTAAAGCAAATTGTTAGGTTTATATGATTTTCCTCCACTCATAGTTTCACACTGGGGGATGGAGAGAAAAACCTGCATCTTTATGGAATAATATTAGGAACAGAAAGATTTAGCTATAAAAATGTTTGCTATTTATGCAATTTGCTTAATTACTGAATATAATGGAATACTATTGGTCACGATATCCTAAAAATACTTGTATAACAAAACTAAATCACAGCAAAGAAAAAAAAATTTAAAAATTGATAAAATGTGAGCAAAACTGAATTTCCGCAACAAAAATATAAACCTGGATTTTAGCCAATGTGTTCGGAAACAACACAACAGCTGAAAAAAACCCTTTCCAATTAGTAGAAGCTCATCAGATCATCTATGCTTTTACTGATCTCAGTAGCTATTGAGAAAATCTCCTCTTTTCATTTTGACAGCTACCATATTGGTGCTACTACTGATGAAGCTATGCAAAAGGAAATATGGGAAAACTTGTTTGGAAAGAGTACTAGCTTGTAAATCATCATCCCCCTGTATGGCCTTCCTTGTCTCTCTGCCTCACTAATCCACCTTCTTGGATTCAAAAGAATAAGACAGAGAAGCTTGACATACCCAAAAAATAAAATCCCACCGGGACCATCACTCTGTATTTGCCACTGTGGTCACAATTTTTACAGACAGTCATGAACATACTTCATTCGGTGCATATGTGCTTTTGAAGTACTGAATCTGGACTTCTGCTTTCTTAGTTCAGTTGGAATCACCAGTACTGGGGGAAAGCAGGGAGGTGAGGCAGAAAAAACAGAGCTGATGATACAGTTTTCCTTTGCTATTATTTAGAACTCCATTCACTTCCTATGCCTGTTTTGGGATACCATCTAATAAGGTCATGAATAAAAGCAAAAATACATCACTTTCTCATTTTTTAAAAAACAGACACACACACTACAAATCTGTCCGCTCATTTAGGCTTCAAAATATAGGAAATTCACCATATATGTGTATAAATTATAGGGAAGGATTATACCTCAGATGAATAGATGATAAAAAAGATATTAAATCTCATCAATAACTCATGACTTCTGGTCCAGTTAAAAGACTGCTTACATAAGCTAATATTTCTAGCCCTGTATGAAAGTTCCACTAAATATATTGCACTATTTAAACTTCCTTCATAACATGAAATGCTGTTATGCCACAGTTTTAAGAGAAAAAAAAAATCCTTGGGAACCTTTGGTTCTTTCAGCAGTTTTAGTTATTTCCTGCAGAATCCAATTTTTTACTTACTAAACCCAGAATCATATATACCTTCCTGTTACTGAGATATAATAGCTTTCCCCATATAAGTCAATGTACTGTGCCCTGTTAATCAATTACAGAGCACACACTCTTGCCAGCATCATAGCAGCAAAGAAATAAACTCTCCTCTATACCATTTATCTCAGTGATGTATTAGCATCCAAGCCAGCTTAGGTCCATTTAAATGTTAACTTCCTGAAGCAAAACCATACTTCCACTGTGCTCCATGCTGTTCAGATAGAAAGGACTGATAACTTTGTCATAGGTATAATGACATTTGCTACTCTGACTTTCCTATTTGGAGGGAAATTACAGTCTATGTCCATCAGAAACAAGTTTCCTTGAGATTCAGGTAGTTAGATCAATGGAAGAAAGATCACCTAGTGTAATTAAATACAAATGAAAATCTCTGCAATTCACAAACTTCAAATTCCTCAAGACCTAAAGACTACAAAGAGAAGGACTGCTGTATGTGCTGTTCTTACATGCTTTCCCAGTTACCTGGTTATTGGAAACCAGATACCGGGTGAGATGGATATTTTGTCCTACCAAGTGCGGCCTCTCATATATTCTGGTGTTTGCCTTCAACAAAACCAGGAAAGGATACCTGCCCTTCCCTGTTTTACAGTCTATTTACAGTTTATTTTTATAGTCTACCCATCATGCTGAATAGACTAAAAAAGGGTTGTCTTCTACTTTGCCTGTAGTTTCTTTACTCCCACTTAGTTATTCCATGAACAATTTGGGGAATAGGGACCAGACTATTTGAAGAGACAGGCCTTGATTATAACACAGAGCAGACCATATGCATACAAACTCTGGATTTATCAGCTCCAGAAGTTAAAGTTTAATCCTCGCTATACCAGTGACTTCAAGGATTTTTGATGGGCAAAGCAGAGCAAAAAAACTCAGTGCTTCACTTCACAGAAGTATGTTCAAGTGCTTAGCATCCTGATCAATAAGCAGGTCACCTGTAAAGTTGCTGACATATCTTATCAAAGCAGTCTGAGCAGATGAAAAAGACAACCTGCAGCTCATCTCTATCATCTTGATATTTGTATCTAGCGGTAGGTTAGAATGCCTACAAACAACTAGACATTTAGAAATGTTAAGAAATGAGAACAGTATACATTTATAGTCATGGTGGTTTTTATTAATAATTTGAAGCTTCATTGGAAGATCTCATAAGCTCTTGCAAAGATTCTGTCAGCAAAATGAAAAGAGAGCTAAGATGTGTACAGTGCTTCTAAAAAAGAAAAATATTTGGTTACTGATAAATAGCACTCATCAGAAATAAGCAACAGTGATTTACTAAGAAT